GCTTGATCTAGACCAAATATGATTAACCATGAAATCCACAATTTAGGGTATGAGACCATAATAACTCTTTGAAACCCAAATCAAAATAAAATAAAAAGCCTAATTCTAATCAACCAAATATTCAAGGTAAAAAATAAAGAAAAGAAAGAGAGGAAAAAAGAAGCTATATTTAAGCAAACAAAAATATCATAAAAGTGAGTATATCATGTTTATATTTAAGAAACTATTTCAAATTAATTAAAAATCAAGATTTATTTTAAAAATGCTAAATTTAACATAAAAACAATAAATAAAAAGATCTAAGGCAACCAAGGTTCTTTTTAAAGTTGGTGACCAATTCTTTAGAAAAGAAATAAAAAACGATAAGAGAGTTTAAAAAATGCCAAAAACTGAAGGAAAAAAAAAGCTTAAAAAAGAGGAAAAAAGCACATAATATGCAAAAAATTTAGAGAAAATTTGATAAACTAAAAAAAAATGTTAACAATTGATTTATATAATAGAAAACTAACCTTAATTTGACTTAATGAACCGAAATTTGATAAATAGACCAAAACACATTGAAAACCCAAAATAACTAAAATAATAAAATAAAACTTAACCCAAAGAAACCCTTAAATGCTTCAGGCCCTAAAATAAATTAATAGATAAATAAATAATAGGCTAACTAATTAAAATAAAACCAAAGTTGAATTTTATAATCTACTAGCAAAATCAAAGTTCAACTTCAAATAAATGGTTCTTCTTATATCCCTAGTAAATTATGGATGTCTACTTTTTGATGCAATTAGAATTGCATCAAAATTTATTATGTAACTACAACTATAATAAAAATAGTAGAGAAAAGTTAAAATTGACAGATTTAAATCTTTTTATTCTAATTTTTCTATAATGTCTAGATGCTCCTCTACAAGTATTTTTTAAACGTGAATCAAATTAATCAAAACTTATTTTTTATTATTTGATATCCTCTCAAAGTCCACATTATCTCGTATATCTTGAAGAAATCTCTTAATTGTCTCTTTGAACTTTTTTGCTCTAACTCTTCTAACTACATCCAATAAAACTTCTAATAGATCTCTTGATCTTAGCTAAGATTGCACCAGTAAGCCACCATATGCATCGCTTAAGCATGTTCTAGATTTTTTATATATATATATATATATTTATTAAAATACCATATTGCTTTTTAGACCATGTAATTATCACAAAATAAAAACTAAGATGAAAGTACAAATAACTCCCTAAAGGCAAGATTAAGATAATTTGATTACAAAGACAATAAAATCATTTAACCACGTTGTGGAAATTGAAATTACAAAAAGGCTCCTAGATCTAAGTTAAATATTTTTTTTTCATTTAAGGCCAATTGAGTAATTATATTATGCAAAAATAAATAAATCAAAAGACCAAGCTATCCCTAATCAATTTTATAATAGCCAATATACGAGGTGAAATTACCTAAAATAGTAATTTCATTGCTTCAATTCATAGTAACTTAAGACATTTTGTAATATTTTCCCCAAAAGTTTTAGGTTTTCATTAAATTTTTTTCAACCTTTTTTCTTAAACTCTTTTTTGAATTGTAACTTTTTATGAATAATTTGATGATCATTTTGTTAAAATTTAATGATGAAAGACAATTAAACAAAAAATAACTAGAGTGTAAAGTGTAAATCAAGAAGAAACCCTAAGGTAAATTTCAAATTCAGTGAGAGATTACTTTTTGGTTCATCATCTTTCTTCTTTTTTCTTTTATAGTTAATATAGTTTTTAAAATTTTTATTTTTATTCTATTTAAAAGTTCATTTTGTAAGTTGTGTTTGAGAAACGAAAGAAAAACTAATTGGATAACAATGAAGGAGTGAGAAACTCCTTTGTTGGCCATATTTCAATGATTAAAATAGCCGATCTTGTTGTTAATAGGTTCCATTAAAAATAGAAAGTTCTATAAAGGTGTTTTTAGACTTTTAACTTACCTTAAAAAATAAATATAAGTTCAGAGAGAATTTGTTTGATTTTATTTTATATTGTTGGATCAATTGAAGGATTCTTTGAATGGATATATTGATTTATTGAGATGTTAAGGATATGTATTAGTGATTTAGAGTTAAAATAAGTTAAAAATATATTTTTTACACCTAAAAACCCTATCTCTAATTTTCTAGGCACCTTTGTAATAGGCTTGGCCTTGCAGGCCGACGTGTATTGGATTATCTGTTTGTTAGGTTGACAAGAAATCCTTGATCTTTTTTATTTTTTTAGTGGATTTAAATTTAAATGCATTATAAAAAATTAAACATTATATCTCAATTATTACTCAATTTTGTCGTTTTTCTCAAATGATATTATAGGTTTTTGTGAGAATGATAATACTTACTTTCCTAATTATTACATGTCTAATATGAAAAACAAAACTCATGAATATTAAATTAACATAAAATTATGTTTTTTTTTTAATATTTTAATATGTTTTTTATATAATTTTATCACCTTTATCGTTTTGTTTTTGTCTTCCGTCATATACAAAAATACTAAGACTTTATTTTAATATATATATATATATATATAAATTTCTTTTAAGATCATAATGGATTTTTGTTTAGAAAACAATACTTGCAATTCATAAAATATCCTGGTATTGGGTTTGTTCTCAATTTTATGAATATTTTTTTTTTATCATATTATTAAATAAAATATAATTTTAAAGAACAAAAAGTTATTTAATCCAGTGAAATCCATGATATAATTCCAAAGTTATTACACTTGATAGAGTTCATTATCTAAATTATTAGTTTAGAGGGTTAATTAAATTTTTTTTTTAAATTAATTTATTTTAATTTAATTCTCCAACATTAAAATCATTGAGAATTAATTATAATTTATTTTAGTTTTGTAATATAATATGAATTTCGATCTACACAAAAAGTCAAATATAAAGATTTTAATAATAATCTATGAGACTAGATTTAATGATATTGTTAAAAAATTATTCACAATCTAAATATTTTATCTATTTAGGGGCAAATACATTTTTAGCTCCTTTATAACTCGGACAATTGAGATAAATACATATAAAAAATGCCCTTTTCTTTTGTCACTTCCCCATGATCTCCATGGTAGGTTCTATCGTAGATGATAAGACAATTGAAATTAAGCACAGGTTTAGTGGAATCCACGTATACTTCTTGACTGATCGCAAACTCACCATGTGACTCTTGCATTTAGCCTTTTTATCTTTGGAAAAATACATATTAATGATGGACATCCTCCAACCATTTCCATCCAACCAATATGACAGCACACCAGGCCCACTTAGAATTCCCATGAAAACGATTTGTAGCCCATTGGACCAAATTATGTAATCGAGTAAGTTTCTGGCTAAAGAGTTTTTATGGTCAAATTGTTGTTAGTTCTTGAATAAAAAATCTAAAATTATTAGTTGCTGAACTATTTTTCGTTTTAATGTAGTCCATTTTTTAGTTTTCTTCCAATTGAGAAAAAAATAAATATATTTATAAATAATAAAAAATTAATTAATTTTAGATGTTATTAAAATTAATTTTATTATCTGCTTCACATGTTTAAACCATAATTTTATTGGAATATTATTGGATCAGAAATCTCTACCTTAAAAGGTGGGATCCAGTTCATTGTATCTATACACAATTTTTCCTTAAAAGGTGGGATCCAGTTCATTGTATAGATATGGGTGTCTAGAGTGATTTTGTCGAGACACAATTTACACGAGTATAAATAAGAATTATTTACCAGTTAAATCATCAAGACGAGAGGTTATTAAAACTTGATTAAAGAAGATGTGGAGATGACATGTTTTATCATGATAGGGAGAGGGACCGGGCCCATGAGATATAAGTGTATTTGAGGATACGATCGAAACTATATATTTTTTAAGTGTATTTGAGGATACGATCGAAACTACATATTTTTTTTAAAATAATTTTTTTAGATAAAAAATATTATTTTAATATATTTATAAGCAAAAAAAACATTTTAAACAACCACTACAATAATATTTCTAAAAACATCCAAAAGAAAAAATTGGGCAAGCTTGATAACATCCCACAAACAATAAGTGGGAGTGAAATGTTTCTTTCTTACAAAGTAAAAGATACTACCACTAAATACGTGATATAGCATTCAAATCTTGATCATTAGTGCACCAAAAGAAGCAGAATGGTAGAGAGGAATTCGTCCATCACCCGAGTCAACATGCATGCATACTATACTCTCTAGCGAGGCATGTATATAGAATTACTGATGCATTATATATGAAGGAGTTTAGGTTTAGGTTAAGGTACGTATGCTATTTGAACAGTTAGCAAGTTCCTTTCGAAGTAAATGCATGCTGCTAATTTGAGAGCAAGGCGAACCACTTGTTAATTTTCATGATTAGATACATACAGTACTCCAAATGAGTTCACTTGACCTACATTTTCTGTATGATCTGTACCTTAATTTTATTTCTCAATCTCAATTCTGTAATTGGAACTTGAATGGTTTTCAAGAGCTTAACGATGCTGTCCACTGACTCTCCCCGGCGGCCTTCCGTTAACCATATGACATAGGGTTATGCTCCACAATTTTGAGGCTAAGAAAGAATTTAGGGTTCAAAAGGTTGGAGGTACAAGATCATTTTACTCCCAACCACAGACACACTACAAGCAGAGATTATAATTGATCAGACCCATCTTCCACGTTGCAGGTATTATGCTGTGCTTGATAAACATAAAGGAACACAAATAACAAGAGAGTAGGTGTGAGTAATGTGAAATCCAGCCAATCGAGCTGAATGGGATGTCCCTCAACAAGACATTACAATAATACACACATGGAGCTGTCTACACCAAAAAGAAAGGGAAAAAAAACAAGAAGAAGAAGAAGAAGCGAGGAAACACTTGAAGCAATAATAACCCAAAGTTAAGTATATGGTATCGGTACACAAACATAAATGTTCCAACCCAACACATCTACATCGTTGCCTTGCAATTCATTGCTGTGTCGATTGTGACGGTTTCAATTTGCTAAAAAGCTGAAAGAAGAGAAAATATAACCTCAACTGCCTCTACGTACCTGGTGCTTATTCCGCGAACCCTCCCATTACTTCATTATACCCTTCTTCAATATATATACAAGACCATTTTGTCTCTCAAACTAATATATTCTGAAATTCTATGGAGCTTAAGTATAGCACGGCCACCACCTTTCTTCTATGCCTCCTCCTTGTCACGCCTTACATTTCAAGAGGTTTGTAACTCCATATGTATACTTTGTAAAAGTAGGAGTTTTTCAAAGTGTAGCAAAACTTGGGCCACTGTTATTGGCATGGATGGTTTGCTAATTTGGAAATGTTTTTCTAAATTCGTAGGGGGATTGGATGCGGCAGAGTCAGAAGTTTATGAAATTGATTATAGAGGACCAGAGACTCACTCATCAGTAGTGCCTCCTCCTGGTCACTCTCATGGCAGGCCTTGGATTCATCAAGATAATGTCAAGAAATCTCATAAACCCCAAGGTTTTAGTGGTGATCACAACGGAGAACAAGTAAGACCCAGTATTTATCTCACTGAAGTACAAATTAATCATTTAAGTTGTTTAAGTGCCTGGTAAATTGCATGTTGTTCAACAGGTTCTTTGATAGTCCTCTTGTGACACCAAATATATTTCTTGATTTCTAAATTTTTTGATTTCATGAAAAGTGAAAGAGTTTTGTTTCACTAGATGTTAGTATTTATAGTACACCCAAGCTGTTATTAGTAATTTCCAATAACTCTGCTTAATACGCTTCGCTCTCCTTACTTTATTCCACTTCACTCTGAGCCACAAACTACGACACATAGCCTGTCCCTTTCTGCGGATTCACGAGTTGTTAATTAAGATTCCAGCTGGTGCATGTGCATTTCTGATAAGTTTGGCTGACTCTTTTGTCTTGTCTTTGCTTAATAATGTCTTGCAGGCTAACAAAATTCATGGATGAGGGAGTTCTAGAGGAAGTATCAGTTTTGTTTCAAATCATTACGGTTTGGTCCCTTTGATATCTTAGGCATGGATAGAAAATATGCAAATTGAGAAATGATATAGACGGCAATATTCCTTTGTCATTTTTTAGTATTCTGCCAATGGTTGTAAATTTGATCTAAGCTACTGAGTTTGTGTATCTGTAATTTCTGTTTAATATCTTCAAATCTTAAGAAGGATGGTTTCTTGTGAGGGTTTGGAATCTCCTTGTTGTAAATGCTATCAGATTTTTATTTTTATTTTTTTAAGGTAGAAATTAACCAGAAGAAACTTGTTATAATTATACTGTAAACCAAAAGAGAAAGAGTTTTTACTCTAGGCTTTTAAGTAGATTTTGATAACCTTTTTTTCAATTTAGTCTTTGAATTTTTTCTTTCTTTCGCAATTAAGCTTGAATTAAAATTCAATTATATATATTTTTTGGGATGGAAAATTGAATTGAAAGATAAAGGACTGAAATGAAAAAAATAGATAGGTGATAACTTTTTAATTTGTTTAAAAAGTTTATTTTAACCTCCTCTTTAGGAAGGTGTTATCTATTCCAAAACCAAGCTATCTATACCTGTAAGCCCACGGTTTCATTCCAATGCTTTGATTAGTTACGAAGACGTGAACCTTTACCTTTGTAAGTACAAAATCCTTAATCTTTAATCAGTTTTGGTAGTGAACGCACTACTCAAGCGGAGTAGCCAACATGCGCACATCATCCCCATAGGAGAAAGAGTCTCAAATAAAGGAACCCGATAGGCTTGAATGGGATGGCTTTTCTGGATGCCCCAGAAATGAGGCCTCCTCAGGGCAGAAAGGCTCTCAAAAGCAGGCGCGTACTCCCCATCTTTTTTAATTATTAGTTAACCGATCTTTCTAGTTTGTAAAAAAACTAATTTTGGTACCACACTTTTTTTTTCAGTCTCTTTTAAGATGAGGCGGCTGGGTCGCTGGATTCAAATGTAGAGGAAAAAAGTTTTTGTTGTCTTATTTTAGCTATTAAAATAATTAATTTTTATATTAAATAATTTTATATAATAATATGAGTTAAGATTAGGTGTTTATTTATCTTGAATATATCTAAAACAACATATCTGATCTCAAGAAGAATTTTGGTTTTGGGTTTAAGGGGTATTTTTTCTTGTATTTTTGGAGGTCATGGAAGGTTTTTAAGGTATTTTAAATAAAAAAAAAAAGAAATGAAAATAAGTTTTTGTGAGAAAAAACAACAACCTTGTTTTTCTGACCAACTAGTTGCTGGATTTTGGAGAGCTCTAGACAATGCATCATTCTTTTTTTAAATAATTAAGATGAATTACATGTTATATGCCCCCATTAACTTAAGAAAAAATAGACGTTGAGGTGCAATCTTGTTGGTGCCTGGTCTCATTCTCTCTTTTTAAAATTTTTAATTTTTTTTATTAATAGTTTTTTATTTAAAATAATTTTTTAAATTTATGTTTTAATTAATATCTCATCTAAATTTTTTGAATTATTTTAATTAATATTATTATATTGGGTATGTTCAATTCTTTAAGAGATTAGTATGATTTATTTGTGTGTGTGTATTTATTAAATATTGTTTTATAATATTTTTAATATGTGTAGCTCTAAGATATTTTTTTATTTTATTCAATAATTTTTTATAAATTTATTTTAGTAAACAAATTAATTTAACATAATCACATAAATAACTCTTATTGTAATATTAAATATCTTGATTTATATATTTTTTTTTCCAATTATATTTTTTTTACCATGTATTTATGTTTTTAATTTGATGCTTAGTTTTTATGATTTTTTCCTTAATTCTTTTATAAAAGTTTTTTCTTTTAATTTTACTCTCCAATCTAAGTTGACAGTGTATTGTGCTTTTTATTTTTTTGCTTTTGTTAATGTTTTTGTCCTTTTTGATTTAACTCTTTGATTATATCCCTTATTCTTTTAATTGCGATTTATTAAGGATTTTTTGTGAATTTGATTATATCCCTTATTCTTTTAATTGCAATTTATTAAGGATTTTTTGTGAATTTTTTTATTTTATTTTTTAATATTTTATTTATTAGAAATTATGCTTCATAATTTTTTTATATATTATGTTTATGTTCATATGACCCGGATCACGGGTTTGAAAAACTAACAAGGATAAACATTTATTTTATCTTATTATTTTCAAACGAATGAATGTATTGTTTGTTACCATTTTAAGGTATACAATGGACACCAAATTACTAAGAAACACTTCATCTATGATTTTCAGCCATTTGCATCAAACCTCTACACCCTATTTGGCTTAATAACATCTTGTTCCTAGTCAGTATACTCTACGTTGAACATATCCAAGTTAATTGGGAAACAATCTTTCATTCAATGAACATAGAGTTGCAAAGTTTCAAATTAGGTGTGATTTGTTTCTAATGGAAAGGTTTATATCCCCTCTACATGATTCAGGTTTATTAATGGTATATTGACACCCTATGTTCCACAATGATTTTGATAAAATATCCTACATAATCACCATTGACTAAATAAGAACACCTATAAAAAAATAGTTTTTTAAGGTTCTTTCTTTGATTAGGATTAAACACTATAACCTTCAAGAATATATTGTAGAAATGAGAGAGGGCATAACCACCTAGATTCTAAAAAGACCATCATGATTTTGTAACTTTCTAGTTTTTTTTGGCATATAATAAAGGTTTTTTTTTTTAAGATAAGGGAAAAAATAAAAGGGAAATTAGGGAGAGAATTGAGTGAAATACCAAATGATTTTTATAGTGAAAAATACAATAAAAATAGTGTAAAAAAGATTGGAACAAGAAATAAAAAAGAAAAAAGAACACACAAGTTAAGGATAAGGATTAGAGGTTGGAAACAAGAAGAAAAAGGTAAGAAATTCCAAAAAAATAGGACAACATTGTTGAAAAATGTATACGCTAGAGGGTGTAGCTTAATGAGCACACATATCCTTTAATGCTTGTTAAATTCATATTTTAATGTTTATTGTTTATCTATAATAATTATTTGTTAGTTTTAAAGTAACGTATATGTTATAATATAGAAAATTATATTTTGAAAATGATATGCAATATTTGAAAAGTAAGCTCAAGAGTATTTAAATACATAGTTTGATGTTTTTGTGATTGTTAGTATCATATTATTAGTGTGTTTAAATATGAGCTATGATGTTTTGAAGTTTTGTTTAGTCATTTAGATTGGTTTTGATTAAATATACTGATAAATGATTTATCAAAACTATGACTATAAGATTATTATTTTTAATATGATGTTGGGTTTAATCAAGTTATGTTTATTTTAAGATTAATTGAAAACAAATGTTAAATCAATGCAATAGTGTTCATGGATGAGGAGATGTGTTTCTGAGTATTTTATGACTTGATTTGAGAAATAATTGCATTGTTTTTTTATATTATTTTATTAAGTTTTTCATGTTTTAAGCAAGTTAAAATTGTTGTGTTTAAGTTGTGCTTGTTTGCAGGGTTTAAGTCACAATTCTAGATCTTTAATTATTTATGGGGTTATCTAGTTTTTTAGGGTTTTTGCACAACTTGGAGGGTTTAAGTCACAATTCTAGATCTTTAGTCATTTATGAGTTTAACTAGTTTTTTAGAGTTTTTGCTGATTTTCTTAGGTTTTCATGTAAATGATCATAAGCCTTTTTTTTTTGTTATTTCTCATTAATTGGTTTTATGGCCTTGAGTTTAGTTCAAAGTTTATATCCACCCATATGCTATCATTTTCTACTATTTATTTATTTATTTATTAAATGTTTAGTTTGATTTGATTAATTTTAACCAACTTTGAATACCTGAGTTTAAGTTAAAGATTATTAGGATTGATTCATGAATTTTATAACTTAATTTTTATATTTTATACCTTGTAATACTTTGATCTTCCAACTTGGTTTTTAGGTTTTTATTGATGTTCTTCTTTGTAAATTTTAATCAAAATTCTTGTTTGATATTTGTTATCCCTTCTCCAAGTATTGGTCATAGTATTGGGTCTTAGATCATGCTAAGAAACAAAATTTATCTAATTGGGTTGAACCTTTAAGTTTTAAAGCTATGTTTAAAGCTATGTTTGGTAATCTATAATTTTTTTTATAACAAACATTGGGTCTTAGATCATGCTAAGAAACAAAGTCTATCTGATTGGGTTGAGCCTTTAAGTTTTAAGACTATGTTTGGCAATCCATAATTTTTTTTATAACAAATATGGTCTTATTCAAATTTTAATTAAATCTCATATGTTTGAAAGATTATTTTATAATTAATTTTGAGTTTTCTACGTCATTTTTTATTCTTTTATATTTAATATTTGAGACTGTGAATTTATATGCAATATATTTTCTAGTATTAAACAAACTATTTTTTTTTTAAATATATCTATAAAAAATAAAAAAAATAATTTTTTTAAAAATAGAATTATGTTTTAAATTTCACATGGCCAAGTTTATTTTGTTCAATGACCATATATTGTATAATTTTTTTAAGGATCAAAATGAAAAAAAAAAAGAAAAGAACCTTTGTGGATTGCACTGTAGCAATCTACAGTATCAACATCTCTACCTCTTCAATAGTTGCAATTACTGTAGCAATCTACAGTATCAACATCTCTTGCAATCATAAATAATAAGTTCATTTAGTTTATTTTATAATATAATTATTTATGTTTGGAAACTTACAAATTAATCATTTGATTGGTGTTGATTGTTATCATATTAAAAGATCCTGGTTTTTTCTAAACCTCACCGTTTTGTATTTTTAAAATAATCTAAATTGTGAAAGGATACAATTTTATTTTATTTATTTAAAAAAACAATTCGTATTTTATCTGGCGACGGTCTACAAGAGTCAAAATACTACATTATTATATTTCAACCTTAAGGATTAAGGTTTAATTAATTTAAATCGGAAAGGACTAGAAAATAATTTAATCCATAAGAAATCGGTTAGGTGTCTTTCACCGACAACGGTGTACGCGGGTTTCGACATCATCAAGAATGAAAATAATGACAGAAAATACCAACAACCGAAAATACCAGCAACCGCAAATTGTGGAATTGATTCTTGACCACTTATTATTCTCTCTTTCTTTTCTAACGTTTCCAGATCCAATTTCCTCTGCCATTTCACCCCTTTTCAATTTACACCTGTCTCTATAAAATTCAATTGCTGGGCTCGCTTTTCTTCTCGATTAAGTTCTTTCCAATATGGCTGACAACAGCAATCCAAGCTTCGACAGAAACAATAACGATGGCGAGGAAGCGAGCCCTCTTTTGAACAAGAACCTTGAAGAACAAAACGACAAGAAACCCACCAAGGTCTCTCCTGATGCAAAGACGGCCACCGCCTCCCCGGGATCTCCTTGGCCTGAATATGGGTGGGCCGTGAATGGGCTGCCGTTGAGTCATGGGAGCGTGGTGGGTGAGCCTATGGGTCGGAATCAGTGGGACTCAAGCCTTTTTGCTTGCCTCGGTCGCAACGATGAATTCTGTAGCAGCGATCTTGAAGTCTGTAAGTCTTTAATTTTATTTGTGATGCTTGTTTTTTGAATCGGTTATACATTCTTTCAATTGGGTTATTGATTGATTAAACTGTAGCAATGCAATGTTCTAGATGTTAATGATTGATGGATTAGCTGATCATTTATTTTACAATTTTCATCACGAGAATGTTATCAAGAATAGGTGATTGATTATTTTTCTAATTTGCGAATTCTTGAAATTGCCCACAATTTTGTTTTAATTGGGGTATTGCTTTGTTAAGCTGTAGCAAAGTAATGAATCAATTGCTTTTGTCCAGTGATAATATAAACTGCAAATTGTATCATGGCAATGTTAATTAGGATCAGTAATTAGTTATTTCATAATCAATTGGAGATTTGCAAGTTGATTTCTGTTTTTCCATTGGTAAATTGCTGGTATTTTGTGCTCTTTATGTACACGAAACAAAAGTAAGTGGATATATTTCTTATTGTCTATTTTTTCCACATTGTTGCTTCTTTATGTGATGATCATAGTCTTTATAAAGCTTGGACTGGTTCAATAGCTTTGTTGGGTGTACTTCATTTTGTTATATGCAGCCATTATGTTCACATAAAATACAACGCAATAGGAAATGCTTTGTTAGTTTTTCAAGTGAAATTTGAGAAAAATTTCATTTCCATTGGCCATTAATTTTGCACAAGCAGGTTGATGGTATTGTTGTGGGTGGATCAAATCTATAAAGAATGTGGTATAGCCTATTCATAGGAGGAATGATCATTAGCTTATTTGGAAGCATTTAGCATGCAGTGATTTCAGATCATTTTGGGCATATCTCTTAATCACCTCATATTCCTAATTTTGAATTTTGTAAGGTCTTCTTGGAAGCACTGTCCCTTGCATGCTGTATGGAAGCAATGTAGAGAGACTTGGATCTGCTCCTGGAACATTTTCATCCCACTGCTTGTCATACTGTGGTCTGTACCTTATTGGCAATTCATTTTTCGGTGGGAATTGCATTGCACCATGGTTTTCATATCCTAGCCGTACAGCTATCCGTCGGAAGTTTAATCTAGAGGCAAGCTATTTCCCAAGTCTTTCTCCTATATATGTGCATTTTAAACATGATTTTGAGTTCTAATACTTAGTGTAGCTTTATTGTGACCCCTGTTATAATCATTAGTTACGCGTTGGTAACTTCATTTCTCTTTAATCATTAGTTATGTGTTGGTAACTTCATTTCTCTTACAATTTCATCATTGTATGCCTCTTGATCATGACTGCCCCATTCTTCTGAACCTGCCCCTTTTCTTTTTCATAGAGCTGGGGCTTTAAATGAGAGATTTTGCCCACACCCTGCAATATCGTGTATTGTAAAAATCTTTTTTTTCTCCTCCCATTTATACCTGGTCATAGTGCTTTAGTACCGTAGAAATTTCCTTAGATTGATTGCATTCCGAGCATTCATTTCTGTGGCTGTTCATGTGAAACAGGGTAGCTGCGAGGCACTTGATAGGTCATGCGGGTGCTGTGGGAGCTTTGTGGAAGATGATTTGCAACGTGAGCAATGTGAGACAGCATGTGATTTTGCAACTCATGTTTTCTGCCACCCATTAGCCCTTTGCCAGGAAGGTCGTGAGATCCGTCGTAGGGTGCCCCATCCTGGGTTCAATGCTCAACCGTTCGTGGTTATGATCCCACCTGGGGAGCAATCCATGGGCCGTGGAGCCTGAAATTCGTCCTTTGCCAGCATCAGAAACTCATCATCCTGTTTATACTTATTTGGGGTTTGATATTATAGAAGTCACGTTCAAGTTTCTGAAGACCATATTGCTTTGTTTGATCAAGCATAAATAAATAAGTACTCATTGACTTTGAACACGTGTCGTATATTGTGCGTTTAAAATTCATGATGGAAGTGTCTAATGTTTTACCGAAGCACGTGCCTTTTTTATATCATCCAAACGTTGCTTCTTGTGAGGTTCATGGCGAATGCAAATTGAAAAAGAAATTGATGACACCTTTAAAACTTGAAATTAAAAGTGTGCTTGGCAGTGTCAGCACACAAGCTGGCCGGCCCTTTACAAGATGGAATGGTCATACAGTTTGCCAATCCGATGGTATGATGCAAAGTGCTTTTGAGGAGGAAATTCCGTCAAAAGTAAAACCTTTTCTTTCTTCTCAACAGCATTAGTAGAAGCAAAAGCCAAATAAGTTAAAAAGCTCAGCAAGAGAGCCTTCAGAAAATTATTTGCAGACCATTGAAGAAATAACGAACCGCACCAGAATCCCACTCCAAATGACATTCTTCTGACCATCGATGAAATCATAGCCTAAGCTCACGGGGGGGAAAATATCTTCAATCAATTCTTGGTTGCTGAGACATACATTATCCACATACCTATCGTTGTCTCCTCCGAAACCCAATCATAAGACCAAACTCCTATTCCCGTTACATTTCTCGTGGATAAACACTCCAAAATTAATACTCACTAGGCAAGCCACCCTTCGCAAAACCCAGTTCATAGCCCCAAACACGTAAAACACTATGATTCAATTGGAATAGGCATCTAGGCCCATTTGCCAAGGCCTTGGTCTCCCAAATTGGTACCAGTCTTTATCCTAAGGGGCCTAAAATAGCTTAAAAAAATCGAAAAGACTTGCTGAAGCAAAGGAAGAATGAGACTCAAAATTTTAAAGAGAGCAGCATTTTAACCCCTTGTTCTACCCAAATATAGGATAGTAGCTTCTAAGTATGTAGTCTTGACTAAGCAGAAAACATTACTGACAGTGCTCTCATGACATAAAAAAAGGGAAAATTTCGAACACAACAGTTCACCACAGCGAAGACCAACAGATAGCAAGCCTTAGATTTTCACTCTCCTGGTGCTGAGACACCTTGCTTCAGTCTCTCCTTCTTCATCTTCTTCTTCGAGATGGGCTTCTTCTTTCTCGGAGGAAGGGTCTTCTGCGCGTATGAGTAAAGTACATAATTTCCAACTAGGAATGTCAAAACTAACCCGCCAATAACCAGCAGCACTATCAATCCTGGGTTTAACCCTTTAGGCTCAGCATCCTTGATCAAATCCCCCTGTTCATTGGAAAATTTAAATGAACAAAAAGAAACCAGGAAGAAAGAAAAAACACAGCCCACCAGCAAACAGTCAACATGTAGAAAAAAATTGAATTACGCATGCCAATCTATACATGATACAAAAAAACGCAACCCAAGATATTTACATTTAAAATTATCATTAAGAGGACTCGTCATAAAATGGCCGATGATCTAAATAGTGACACAATTCAATAGAGTTCTAATGACATTTCAGATAAAAGCAACTATGTTTAAACCTGTTCAGGTGTAACCCATCTTGCAGAGGGCATAAGAATGCTCAAATACCCACATATCAATATATCCATTTAGCTAATGTTTAATTCCAAAATAAATGATCATGGATGCATAAAAGACATGAATTTAATAAAAAGTTAGTGTGGTAACTCCATACATCTTTACAGCCATCTCTCCTCACAATTCCACATCAACAGGCATCCACACGACTTTCAATACAAGTGGCTAAAATAACACAACTTAGATGGAAAGGGAAATGGTTATCTGACAAAGCATATAAATAAAAAAAGTGCGATAGAAGTGAATGGCACCAGGCAGTTCTGATTAGGAATCAAACAATGTCTGGTGCAAGTTATGGAATTAGACTGATGAGTTGCATAAATTGACTAAAATAATAATAAGTTCTGGTTGTCTTTTAAAGAAGGCCTAAACAAATCCATTTACAATTAAATCATACATGCATTTAGGCTATGTCAGCTGATCCATTTACAATTAAATCATACTTGCATTTAGGCTATGTCAGCTGACAGTTTCGAACCAAAAAGCCTAAGCTCAACAACACTTGGACACCAAAAGTCTATAAATCTAGGATCTCCAGGAAAGTTTTTTTTTTTTGAAAAAAAACTACAGCCCTAAAAGTTGTTTATTATAATCAAAACAAATCCCTTGGATTAAAACAAAAATGTCAACTAATCACAGAGAATTCTAAACACAATATAATTATAACAAAAGGAAAGTAAGATTTTCACATAATCTCAAACAAACACTTCACCTTTCCTTAACAAACAAAAGAAAAGCTTCATGATTAATAAGTCAAATCGGAAAAAATAACATGCAATACGAGAAAATCTTGAAATCAATAATAATAAACTGAACTGTTAGTTCTGAGAAACAATAACACGGGATCATATCAAGAATCAATTATTAACAGGATGTTTGGAAACTTAAGATTTGAGTTAAAAATGAAATCATTTCAACACCATTTACCCAATTCTAGTTTTTGAAAAGCTATAAGCAACTTAAGTGAATTCTACAACCAATAACGAACTTGAAAATCACTGATTTGCTTCAGAATTGACCCGTTAAAAATTAATTATGCTTGGAATTAAGTTTTTTAGAGATAAGGAAAAATTGGGTAAATGATGTATTTTCACTAACCAAATTCAAATGATTTCCACATTTTTAAGACCTTTTCCAAACAAAAAAGAAAAAAAAAATCAATTAAAAAATCAATTCAATCTACTTAAATATTTGAAATCAATTCTAGCATAAAAATGACTCCAAACAAGATGTAAAGACAATAATAAACAAGATCTCTCAATTAAATTCAATTCAATGAGTACAGATCTTGGGTTTGAATTTTCGAGAGAGAGAAAAATGAAGTATATAGAAGCATGAAGCATACCATGTTTTGGAAGGAAGGAGGAGAATTAGCGAACTCGAAATCGTCATCCATGACTGCGAGAGATCAGCTCCTCGTTGTTCCAACTAGACTTTCAGAAGATTCCAGAGAGAAATAAGAAGACAGGAAGAGATCCACAGATCTATATAACCCTCGGAACGGAAACGAAACTGTGGGTGTGTTGGTTTTCTGACAACTTCTTGTTGGCCCTCAAAAGTTTAAACGTTTTGTTTTAGCCCCTGTTTGGTGACGTTTTTATGTGTGCGCGTCCTTTGACACTTCCCTCGAATTGTTTTGCGCATCTTCGATAATAAATTAATAAACTGGTATTAAAAATAAAAATTTCTAGAGAAATAATTCGTAGAATATTATGAATTTATTTTTAAATTAGTAATTTTATCATTTAAGTTGATAGTGATGACACTATGAGAATAAAAGTTAATTATAGCTTAATTTTTGTAGTTTATCAAAATTATTTAACTAGTTTATGATGTTTCAACAATAATTAATAATTAAATAGTTCATTGATTAATATTGATCATACTCTTTTTTTTTCCCTAATAATATCCTTTCTCCACTCAAATCTTCCAACTTAGCTACTTACATTTCGTAGAAAAAACAATGACAAGGAACATGAAATTAAAGAAAAAAAACTATGCTATGAGTGAATTTAAAACTATAATGATGAAGACTATAGTTTTAATTTTGTTGAACTGGAAGGTATTTATTATAAATAATTTTTATATAAAAATTCTTAATTCTTACTTAAAAACACATCAAAATAATATATTTTTTATTTTTTAAAATTTATTTTTTATATTAACACATCAAAATAATATGAATACATAAAAAAATAATTTAAAAATAAATTTAATTTTTTTCAATAATACTTTTAAAATATAAAAATAAATATGTTATTAATCACTCGGTGAAATAAGAAATTGTTGTTCTTGACTTTCCACCGGTAATAAGAATGTCATTTTATCATTTTTTATTCATATTTTGTAGCCTTCCCTTTTCAAACAAAGGCTCCTTGTAAAACGGGATTTAATTAGGGCGACTGCACAAAAATTTACTTTAATATTTTGACTATATAATCAGTGGGTTTTATCCAGCTCTATTCACATGCACTTGATCAAATATTTTGACCACTCATTATTTTATGTAACTGGGTATGTATAGATACGCTTTTGATAATTCATATATAGATATGTGTTAAATAATAAAGTTATAGATGCTTTCACGTATTAATGTGATAGATTTAGATTAAAAAAAAATGATCAAATTAAATCAAGATAATAATATAAAATAATAAAATAAAAGATTTAATTATTGAGCCAGACTTATTTTTTTTCAAGATATTATATATGTTATTTTCTTATAAGAAAAAACTGCATTGCTAATCAGATCATGTTATTTGAGCCAATTCACTAGTTTTCCTAGTTATTTTTAAAGTTATTGTTTATTTTTGAATTTTATGTTAATTTCTTTATGTGTTAGGATCTTGGTTTTGTTTCATGGTCAAAGCCAATCTTTTTAGCATATAAAAGACATTGTAAACCTTTTTAGGAGGCAAACTTGATCATTCTTTTTTTTTTTTTTTATAAACAAGATAAGGTTTTCAGGTTCTTTATGTTTTAACCCTAACTCAATTTATCTTTTATTTTTGCATGCTTGTTGTGCTTTAACCTGTATTAGTTAGTATCAAAGCCCAACAATCCTAAGTTTATAAAGCTTAATTTATGCACTAATTTCGTTGATAATTGTTTGCTTGTTGTGTGTTGTTAACAACCATTACAACAAGAGGATATGGAGCAGGGGTGACCAATGAGAGGATGAGAAGGCTTATTTTTAGGAGAGGAACGTCACAAAATTGACTGGTAGGTTAAAAGAGAAAGAGTTATGAGAACAAAAACAGAACTAAGATAATAATCATGAGTCCTGATCAATATTTTAAACTAGAGATATAATAAGAAAAGATAGCCTATTGATAAGAAAGATATCAGATCTAGATATTTCAGGTTTTACATTAAAATCCTTGAATTCACAAGAACTTTACAAGTAGAGGAGTTCATAGATTGGATGAATGAGGCAGAATGAATTTTTTTATACAAAGAGGTCCTCGATAGATATGAGTAAAGCTTATTGCAATCATATTAAAGGTTGGGGGTTTTCCTAATGGGAATAGTTAAAGAGGACATGAGAGCAGTAAGGAAAGCCAAGAATCAGTGATTGAGAAAAGATAAAAAAGAAGTTGAAGGAGCACTTTCTTTGATTAAGATATACCCAAACCTTGTACCAAAAGGTCCACATGTTGAAACAAGGAGTTAAATTTGTTAATGATTATACTGGTGAGTTTTATCAATTAGTGGCTAGGAATGAGCTGACAGAAATGGAAGAACAACTAGTGGCAAAATATTTGAGTAAGTTACGGTAGTCCATCCGAGATATATTGTGCTTATAGTTTTTATGGACAGTTTCAAAGTCATATTAGAGGGCCTTGACAATGGAGAAGCAATAAACTATTGGGGCTATAAACAAAAAGTTTTTTTTTTAAGAAAATCAATATAATAGATGAGCATCCAACAATAATCCAAGACCAACATGCATCAAGCTAGTAAATATAAAATACAAACTAAAAAGTCATATGAGAAATAATAAGTTGATAAAAAAGCCCATGAATGGTGTGGTTGATTATGTTTTCGATGATTCTAATAGTAGTGAAGATATTTTGAATGTAAATGACAATATTACACTAGTTGTTTGAAAGTTTATGTTGTCATCAAAAGGTGATTCAAAATAGAATTGGTTGTGTTCTAACATCTTCCAAACAACATGAACTGTTAACAACAATGCATGTTATATGATCATCAATAATGATACCTACGAGAAAATATAATGTCAGCTGAAGTGTTAAATAAGTTACATCTTAGAATAGAAAAACAACTCATCCTTTTTAATTTAAAATGGATGAAAGAAGACATTAAAGTAATTATAGACAAATACTTTTTCATTTTATTTTTCATAGAAAAATATATTTTAATAATATTTGATGTGATGTGGTGACTATGGATGCATGTTATATATATTGTCGAGGAAGTCATGACAATATGACAAGAATATTGTGCATGAAGGAAGACATAATACGTATGTTCTTAGTATTGAAGTGAATATATAATACTGTCATATAGAAAGGATAAGGAAATTGTTGAACACTATGGTAAAAATAAGTTATTTTTATCTAGATTTGTGGAAAAGGAGACAAAAGAAAAGGAAGAGGTGGAGAGTCTAGGTAATGGAAGTAAGGGTTAGATGTGTAACAAGTCATTGGTGATCAGTAATTATTTTGTCAAATTCACGAGTGTTTTAAAAATTGATTTTTGACCTAATTTATCTAAGTCGGTTACACGATAAAGGTCTAAAAATGGTCTACGACAATAGTGGCAATGTGATGACCAGAACTCTAAGACGAGTTTTCCAACTTGACGAGAATGATGCAGCCATGTTTGTAAAGATAGGGGTTTTAAGAAAAGTTATAGGAGGATCTGCCCCAAACAAATTTTATGGATGACCTAATAAATACTTTCATGGATCAGTGAGACAAGTCTGCCCAAGAAAAGGTCTAGTCCAACCAAATTAGGATAATGACTTAAAATGACAATAACATATATTCAATTATTGGATTGAACTTATTTTTTAACAAGAGATTTTACATATTGTTTTCTTATGTCAAAAGATTATGTCACTCATTGGATTGTTGAATCTTCCAAAATTAGATTTAGAAGTTGTTGTTTAGGTCAATTTTGCTATTTTTCCAAGTTATTTTTGGAATGATTGTTTATTTTTAGATTTTATATTAATTTTCTTTAAGTGTTAGGATTTTGGTTTTTTTTTCCTAGTTTAAGTCAATTTTCAGCCTATTAAAGGCATTGAGAACATTTCCAAGAGACAAAATTTTTCAAATATTTATTTCAAAAATAAAATAAGGTTTTAGAATTTTCTGTGTTTTAACCTTAATTTAATCTATTCTTTGACTTTTAGTGCTTGTTTTGTTATATTTTCACTAGCATTATTATTTTGCTTTGCAGAGATCATTTTATCATAACTTTATCAATTAATATTTTTATTTAACATATTTTTTAAGAAAGAGTAAATTGGATGCTTGACAACTTTTTTTTTTAGAATCTATAATAATTAGGTTGTTTTTATTTTTTAATTAATTTTTTTTAAATTTTATTCTTTAAAATTAGGTTGATTGGAAATTAGACTATATAATTTGTTTTGATTTTCTTTCTATAGGGTCATAACAATTTCATGATCCGATTATAGATTTTGTAAGTTAATCCAGGTTGAATCAAATTTGTCCAATATATTTACGTTTCAATATTTAATAAAAAGATTTCATCTTAAATTTCTTTTT